GCCGAAGGACGAGGTTGGGCTGGGGGTATGGGTGGAGTAAGTGAGGGGGGGGGTGTACGGAAGGGGTATGGGGGTATGGAAGTGGGAGGGGTGGGTAGGATGGGTAGGGGAAGAGTGTGGGATTTTGAATGGAGATGGGTAGTAGTTGAAGGTGAGGATGAGAAGGGGAGAAAAATGGTGATGTACGATTGTGATAAAAGAGGAAGAGGAAGATTATTCTTGCAGTGCTGACGACGGAGACAACGAGGAAAAAAACAATAAAAAGTAAAAACAAATGCTAAGACATAAACAAAGGTGGTGAGGGTACAAGAATGCCCGAGAAGATGCGCGGCCCGCCCCCACCCCACTCCTCTCCCTTCCTCCCTCTACTCCCTCATCCTCTCTCTCCTCCCCCTCTCCCTTTCCTCTTCCCCTTCCTCTCTCTCCTCTCCCTTCTCCCCTATCTCTCCTTTCTCCCTATCTCTCTTTTCTCCCTTTCTCCCTTCCTATCCCTCCTTCCCCTCCCCTTCTTCCCATTCTCCCCTTTTTCTCCTTTCTTCCCTTCCCTTCCTTTATCTCTTTCCTCTTCCCTTCTCTCTTTTTCTCGCCCTTCCTCTCTCTCTCTCCTTTTCTCTCTCCTCTGTTCTCTCCTCTCTCTTCCTCTCTCTCTCCTCTTCTTCCTCGTCTTCCTTTTTTCTCCTCTTCTCTTCCTCTCCCTTCTCCCCTTTCTCTCCTCTCCCTTACTCTCTCCCCCTTCTCCCCTTCCTCTCCCTCCCTCCTCCTCCTCCCTTCCTCCTCCCTCCTTCCCTTCCCTCCCCCTCCTCCTCCAACGAGAACACGCCGACGAACGTGCATGCCCTGCGTTGGCACATGTCGCATTATGATGTCAGACGGGGGGGGGGGGGTTATCGTGCTCCCCCACACCCGTTCTTCTCGCTGTATTTGTTTTTTTTTTTCTTTCTTTGTTTTTATATTCTTTTCTCTTTGCTCATTTTGTCTTCTCTTTTCTTCTTTCTTTCTCTTTGCTCTCTTTATTTTCTCTTTCTCATCTCTTCTTTTCCTCAATTTTTATATATTTTTCTCTGTTCTTGCTCTCTTCTTTCTCTTTACCTCTCTTTTTATATATTTTCTCTTTTTTCCCGCTTACTATCGCCTTTTTCTTTCCCCTTTCTTCCTTCTCGCCTCGCCTCTCCCTCTCCCTCTGCCATCCCTCCCTTTCTTGTCTCTTCCTTCTCACTCGCTTCTCCTCGCCCTCTCCCTCTCCATCCCTCCTTTCTTGTATCTTTCCGCTCTTCCCCTCGGCTCTATAAGTCTCTTTATCTCCATTGTCTCTTCCTCGCTCCTCTCTCTCGCTCTCCTAGTCTCTATATTTTTTCTCTTCTCTCCTTCTGCGTCCTCTTAGTCTGTATGTCTTCCCCCTTTCCTCCTCTCTCTCCCTGTCTCTTTTTCCTCGCTGACCTTGTCTTTTTGTCTCTCCCTTACTTGCTTCCTCTTCTGGTCTCTTTGCATCTCCCTCGCCCTCGCCCTCTCGGTCTCATCCTCTCATTTTCTCTCTTTCTTGGTCTGCTTTTTATCACTGCTGTCCGCTGCCTTTCCGCTTTCCCTCTCCTTACTGTTTCGTTTCTCACTCTCCCTCCTCTTCGCCGCTCTCTCGCTCTCTCCCTCCTCCTCTTGTCTTCTCCCTCTCGCTCTTCCTTCTCGTTCGCAGGTCCATCTCCTATGCTCCTAGCTATCCTCCGTCTCGTCCCCTCCTTGTTTTCTTCCTCTCCCTCGTTGTTTCTTAGAGATTCTTCTTCCTCCCTGCTCCCTCCCTTTGGTTTATCTCCTCGCTCCTCCTCCTTGTTACTAAGTCTCCATGTCCAACCCTCCATTCTCCCATCCCCCGCTCCCTCCTTCCACTTCCTCCCGCTCCTCTCTCGTTCCTCTTTCCCCCTCCCTCATCCTCTCCCCTCCCTGCATCCCCCTTCCCTCGTCCCTCACCCCTCCCCCTCCCCAACCTCCTCCCTCATCTTCTCCTTCTCCCCAACACCCCTTCATCCTTCTCCCTCTTCCCTCCCTCATTCTTCTGCCTTCTCCCTCCTCCCCCCTCCCTCCCTCCTTACCGGGATGAAGGTCGCCCCTCACGCCATCACGGAAGCTGCCCTTACGACATCCCGCCGTCCTATCTCGCGATCGCGTCTGGGAATACAGGTGGCCATTGTCGTCGACTTTTCTTCGCTTTCTCCTTGATATTCTCCTCCTCCTTCTCCTTCTTCTTCCTCATGCTACCTCCGCTTGCCTCTCCTCCTCCTCCTCTTCTCTTTTTTTTTTTTTCTTTTTTTCTTTTCTTCTTCCTTTTTCCTTTCTTCTCCTTCCTTCTTCTCGCTCCTCCTCCTGCTTTTTCTTCTTCTCCTCCTCCTCCTTTTCTTTCTTTCCTCCTCGCTCCTCCTCCTCCTCCTCCTCCTGCCTCCTCCTCCTCCTCCCTCTTTTCCTTCAATCCTCCTCCTCCAACTTTTCTTCTTCCTCCTCCTTCTCTTCTTCCTCATCCTCTTCCTCTTCATTTTCCTCCTCCTTTCCCTCTTCCTCGTCCTCCTCCTCCTCCTTTTAATCATACCTCCTCCTTTTTCGCTTTCCGACTTTGTCATTTCCTCTTTTTTTCCCGTGTCTGTCCTTTTTTACTCGATCATCACTTTTTTGGCATGCGTTGCATTTTTTTTTTTTTCTCAAGTATTTATTTTCTCTCACCTGCCCGATCATCTCCTCCCATTTGTCGCCGCTTACTCGTTTTCTCCGCCCCTTACTTCCATCCTGAGTTTTGCCCTGCGCAACCCCGCCTCGTCTCTCTCTCCTCTCTCTCTCTCCTCTGCTCTCTGTCTTCTCTTCAATCTCTCTCTCTCATGCTCGTCTACTCTCATGCTCTCTCGTTCCCTGCCGTCATCTCCGTCTGCTCATCTCTCTCTCTCTCGCCTCTCTTCTGCTCTCCCTCTGCTCTCTGCTTCATCCCTCTCTCTCTCTCTCCCTCTGCTCTCTCTCTCCCATCTCTCTCTCTCATCCCTCTTCTCTCTCCTTCTCCCGATCTGCTTCTCTCTCTCCCTCTCTCGTCTCTCTCCCTCTCTCTCGGTCCCTCCCTCCCTCTCTCTCAGTCCTCCCTCTCTCTCGATTCCACTCTCAGTCTCTTCTCTCCCCTCTCTCCTCTCCTCCCTCCCTCCTCTCTCCCTCCCTCTCTCTCTCCCTCCCTTCCCTCTCTCTCGTCCTCTCCCGCATCTCATCTCTCTCGCCTTCTCTGCCTCTATCTCTCCTCTCTCTCTCT